TCCATAGTCGGCTATAACTATTTAAGATAAGCTTAATGGAAATGTACTAAAGTAGATTTTTATGATTTCTATTTTAGTGGTGGGGCCGACGTCGCCGTCGTCGTCGTCGTCGTCGCAATACTACTGACACAAATGTTCGATTTCTTGGGAAAAAAAAATCCAATTGATGCATTAACCAGGCTGATGTTATGCAAGAAACTAGTCATAATTTTAAATAGACCTTCGTTAAGAATCTGTTCGTAGAATATCACTTAGCTTATTTCAGTCATGATCACTAGCCAACTACCTTATCTAATTTGTTACTAAGTTAGTAGTATTTGATTGTCATGTCAACAATCCTATTGCGATTGCTGTATTAAATGATTTCGCTAATATTTGTATGGTAAAATCATTAAAGATAGTTTCAACTGTAATCTTATGCTAGTCTGACAGGTGATAATAAATAAATGACATCGTTATCTTATATCATTAAGATATTCCAGCATTCAACCTTAATAAAGACTATCAACAGCAATTTTTATGCGACATAACCAATTCATCAGTGTTGAAATTTAATATCGTATTGCTTTATTCGGTTATTTGTACTACCACTGTAGAGTAACATAACTCTTTTAGTGTATTCAATAATTTGAGACATCACATGTGATTCCTGAAGATCAATCAAAGTTCACTAAAACTGACACGAAGACGTTATAACCAATAATGGAAAGTTATAAGCTATTGCAATGTCGATTAATCTTTCTTTTTTTCAACTACAGATAATATCTTAGAAACAATTATGATGCTAAAAATATCCCACATAAACATGTTTGTTTGTCTTAATTAGAATGGTCGGTGTAAAAAATTAATGCCGGATTTCTGTGTATCTTACTGAGCTAATAGCTAGTCAGAAGTTTTCTATTTATGGTAATGAATAAGCTAGCCTGAGTCCATATTGCATATAGTAATTATGTAAAAATGACTGATTATTTTTAAGACCTGTTGCGATATTTAGTTTAATTCCAGTATTTTTTCTTGACAATAAATGAATACAGACGCATGAAAACGTACATACCAGCATAGTATATGCAATTAATCGAATTTAAAATCGATTTTAATTCAAAATCTTCCGTCTATGGAGAAACGGGTATATATACAGTCTGTAGAAAAATAATACACGGATTCTTGTAAATCAACTTATTCTCTTTCGTTGGGTATGAAATTTATTGCCGAAACGAAAAAATTTCATACATTTGCTTGCACAGTACAAATAAAATAAAAAAAAATTTGCCGTGCACTCTAAGAGTGCACAGCAACGCACAGTAGATAAAATAATAAACAAAAATATTGTGCTTGAAACCACATCCCGATTTTACTATTTTATGTGATCTTGACCTTATCGTTAATATTTGAGTAATATTAAATACGAGAATGTAGATACTATTTCCCGATAACAACGGATGATGAGTATCATGATAGATAGAATGACCGCCGAAATCTCATATTTTAGCAAATTGGCTATCGTCTTGACTGTCTTTATTTTCATTATGTATAGATGAAAAATAATGTTGGAAGACGTCTTGACATTGCTGTAAGTCTAGAACACTGCGAGAAGATGCAGGAGGACCATCTAATCGTTCGTCTGCTTCCGCGTAGATCTGAAGTTCTTATTAGCAGAATTGTAGTAGTACT